CTTTTTTTTTTTAATAATAAATTTACCCTATTAATAAATAAAGATATCAGGATTGCTTTACACATAAAATACACACCAAAATATCCAGAAGAGACCCCAATAATATCAATTGATACACTAGAGGGAGAATTGAGTGAAGAAGAACATGATAAACTATATTCTGAAATTTCTATAGTGGTATAATGCCTAATATATTTCTTACAATCAAATACATATGTAAAATGCACAATGGTTAATGATTATTATATGTTAGGCTGATGATTCATTGGGAATGGCAATGGTGTTTACATTATCAACACTACTGAAAGATTTGTTAACAACAATGGTTATTGAAAGAAAAGAGGAAAGAAGAAAGGAAGAAGAAGAAAAAATCAATAAAGAAATTGATGTAACTAATAATTTTATTGATAGTTTTACAAATTATAGATTATTAGTTTCCAATTTTGAATCTATTGTTGTTGTTGTTGTTGTTTAGGAGGAAAATGCAAGATTTAAAGGTACAAAAGTGACATATGAAGCATTTTTAGAATGGAAAAAACTTTTTGATAAAAAAATGGAAGATATAGAAAAATCAAAGAAAGACCCAATTTTATTAAAAAAAGAAGAATCAAAGAAAAATAAATTAACAGGTAAAAAATTTATATCTGATTGATTGATTGATTATCCTTCCAATTTTTTGAGATTATAATTTTTTTTAAAAAAAATTTTTTGTTTGTAGGAAGACAATTATTTGAACAAGATAAATCACTCGCAAAATCAGATTCAACGTTTATAGAAGATGATGATGTTACAGTAGATGTATCTTTATTCAAAAAAGAATCCATTGTAGAAGGTGAAGATGAAGATGAAGATGAAATTAGTGTAATTGAATTAGTAAAAAATATTAACGATTAAATAATTTAAATAATTTAAATAATTAAAATATTAAAAGATTTTATTCTTTAAATTCAAACAATCCATCTCTATCAACAACAGAAAATTTAATATTTGATATATTCTTATTATTGTTTGTGTTGAGTCCTGCTGTAACAATTTGTCCTGATTTTATAGGTCCAAC